CCTGAAAACGTCTCCCCTAACTTTAGAAGTTTTACGAAGTCACCTTTGACCTACTTACTTAGAAGAAGATTAAAACAAGAAAGATCCACTAGTCTGAAAGAAAAAACGTGAGATAAGAGTGAAAATCTAGATTGGAGATGAATACTACAGTCTGCTCCAATCGGGATCAGGCCGAACCGTCGGCGTAAATTTGCGCGCTCGCAGCGCTAGCGGTCTGCGCTGCATATGCGTGCTGTCGGAGAGAGCAAAAGACTTGAAGAGAGAGCCAAGAAGCAGGCCTGGGAGTGACAGCGAAACTCTAGCGATGCGGACTCCCGTCATGCCAATTTTGGCCTGGTTGGGAGTGGGGCAGACTGTACGCATGCACAAGAGTTTGGCATTGGAGTGCAATATCTAACAAAGCGATTTATGAAGAAACTGAGGCAAACAAAGGAATGGCAGTATATGAAAATGTTTTTACGCTCAAAGATGATTTTTGACCGGGGAATCCGTCCATGATAGAAAAGTCCAAAACTTATGTGAAGTGATAGAAATATATGCTCCAGACGATCTCAGATCTTCTGGTGACCGTCTGGAGTCGGACTAATTTGGAAAAGGTAATATTTCACATAAGTTTTCTACTCTTGGTGCATAATTCTTTTGCAAATAATTTTCTATAAATACAGTCCAGTTTTGGTGTCATATGATTCTGTGTGCGCTGTAAACAAGTAATTTGTTTACTTCAGGTTTGCTTTCAAATCGCGCGCACTTCTCACTTCTTCTTCACCATACACAACATAGCATGTCAATCGTGTGATAACCTGTCCGAAACTTGTGTTCGACTAAATGGCGCTTATTCTTGGTGCTTGGCCCCGACTCGTCAAAAACGATACAGTCCGTTTCAACCACATGCTCCCTTTTCCGTAGATGCAGTGAGCTTCGCGCCACGCTCGCGCGCGTATGACGCGGGCATTCAAGTGGGCCTTATCGATTGGAGGTCCGCATGCAGGACCCTTGCGTTGCGCATGCGTAGTCCCCATGCGAAAGGGAGTACGTAATTGACATCGACTGTACCTCCTTTGCTTTTTGCTCCGAAAACGAAGTCCAGCCTGCTTCCAGACGATCTGTGCCGGGTTCTGATCTCAATCAGGAACCCGGCATAGCGAAGTCCGCGCCGGTGGGGTTTTGCGCAGGGTCAGGCACAGATGGTTTGGGATCAAACTGAACTTCGTTTTTCAGGTGAAAGCAAAAGAATTTCGTATGCTGAACATACAAGTGACCTCCAGATATGCTGATATGCCATTAACTTGGTTCATGATATGCTCTAACATGTCTCATCAACGCGCCAAATTCAAAATGATGCGTAATAAACGAATGGCTTGTTTACAGCACACAAGCAATCACATGGCATCGAATTTGGGCTATGTGTACACAATATTACTCCAAACTATATTATGTAAAAAGTTTCAAGAACTTTTGTGTCCTTAGGCCTCGGGCATACCTCACGCGATTTCAGTCGCCACGCGATTTGGCAATACTCCAAATGTTCATAACTCATCCTACGGGGTTTCTGAATGTACGGAAGAGGGGGCATTTTATCAACCTACGAAAGTTAGACAAGCTGTGCATTTGAGGTCTTCCAGTATTGAATCTGAAGACATATGGCAAATTGCCAGATCGCGTGGGGACTGAAATCGCGGGAGGTATGTTCCTTGCCTTATACCCGTTCCCGAATTGTTGTTTCTAGACCATCACCAGACCATTTGGGTTGGTTCGGAGCATAAATAATGGAGAGTTCACATAAGTTTTAAACCTTTTCAATAAACGATTGAAACGCTCATAAATCTATCATACAGTGAAGAAAGCGAATTAGATCACTGCCCCTCCTCTTTTCTTAGCTAAAAACAGCATAGAAATTGCATTGTCAGAAATGGCGCTCCAACTACGTGCCTGCCAAGGCGTACTTTAACACGTTTCGGACCGCGAAATCGCGCGCGGCGAAAAAGAGGGTACTTTCAGCCGTTGGCCAACAAAGAGACCTTATTTCGCAGACTGTGTGCTACATCTGTAATCAGCATGTCAGATAAGATCGATACCCAAAGTTCTGAATGAATTCGAAGTGTTTGAATTTTGTCGCTTGAGAAGGACTTCCATGCTTTCTTGAAAGATCGAAACAAGAACCCAGTTTCTAATTGTATCCAAAAGTATCTATGTTGTACACGATACACATGATTATTGAAATTACGGTTTTCCTCATTGAATTTGAAGCAAAGAGAAGTTGCGACGTCGCACGCATCGTTCGCGATGCCGCACCTCGTTGCAACCGTTGTTCGATCGTTGCAACCGTTGTTCGATTTGCCCCATATCTCCTAACAAATATCGGCGGCATAGCTCTACAGAGTTATTTGAAAAATAGGGGCCTAGGCCTTTAAACTCGATAACCTTGGACAAAAAGAAAACCTCCTGTAAACGTTAAAAGGATCCTTCAAAGCCGCGTGCTGCACCATGTGCAGCACTGGTCCGAAACGTGTTAAACTGGCGAAAACCGTTTGTTGTTTTTGTTGTTGCTGTTCTTTCAAGTTGTTGTTGTTTCTTACTAGATTTACGTCAGTGGGGACTTCGTTTCAAAAATTCTCCAAACCAACGCAGGCCGGGCCATGGTTATGCGTTACGCCTACGCCAGCTCCCTCTCTCTCTTCACTCTCTTCACCATCTCCGACAGTATGCATATGCAGCGGGTAGGGGAGCAACTCCGCCGGTTTGGGCCACCTTCGTGGATCTTGGAACGTCATGCTACAAAATTGCGAAAGGACCACTTGCCTACGAATGCGGTGCAAAATAGCGGAGTTCGTTCCCATACCCATATGCAGGGCAAACCCCAGCTGCTATCGCGCAAATTTACGCCAACTGTTTAGCGACCTGATGTTATGCTGTGGAAACACCGAAGACATTCTTTACTAGCTATTGTTTATGAAAATATGAAATCGGTTTCCCTCTGTGCAAGAAAACGTAAGCTCCTTGTTGACAGATCGAACTGTCTTAGGAAAGCAAAGCTGTACTTAAGAGGAAAATCCAGCTTCTTTTATTATTCTTAACACCCTGCTATCTTCTGCATGAATTCAGACAAAGCGAGAAGACTCGCTTGGGTGCCTATTATTGAGACAGCGCGCAATTTTCGGACCTTTCGCGGACCATGACGTCAGTAGTAGGGTTCTTAAAAAGCTTGGTGGGTAGGCAAAAGCGTTCAATAGCGAAGAATTTCGCTTCCGATGTTTTTGAATTTGGAATGTTGAAATCATGAGCGGATTCATTACAGAGTAATGAGTCGAGATTTCTAATTTGAAGAGCTTTGACTATTCAAAATAATAACATATCATGACTGTTCTAGTGAGATTTCGCCACTGAGAGAGAGCGCATGCTGTAAGTCGGAGTCCCAATATAGTCTACCTGAACCGATGTGGCGGCCAGCTACTGGCGGCTCTAGCGGGCGCAATAAGCCGAATTTTTAACAGTGATGTTTGATTATTGACTCCATTACATCGCGTAGAGAAAGATACTACAACTCGCATAAGAATAATAATAGCAATAGTTATACGATTCCACGTGGCGGTCCCGTAGCGCGCGCATGCTACTAGCACCTTCAATTGCTGGTTCACTAGTTTTTAGAAACTAATCCACCTGAGGTTGATGAGAGCCACAAAAGCAAAGAAGCGTGTGAATGCGATTGGAATTGAGGCGTAGAAACATACTAGTGAAACACACTGGCTTCAAATGAAGATGAGAGGCAGAAGATTAAGTCAATTCAACGCAAATTCAAAGATCATTTTCATAGTCACTTCCTCAGGATAAATCTTTGGTGATGTTATGCCCATTGATCAGACGGGTTTCTTGAATTGTTCCTGATACCAATGCTTGACTAGAATTCATGATAAATTGACTAGCTTTGAGAATTCAACTATGAACAGATTTCGCGAGATTCATCCTTCACAATACTACCTTTGAAGTAAGCTTAGTGCGGAAGCAACATATCTGCAGAGAAGATAAAAAAAATTCGTAAACATGATTCGAGATAAACACAGTTCGTGAGAATTGATCACTGAATAAGCACACAAAAGTGAAAAGAATTCGAGCCCCTCACGAATACGAAGAAAGATTTCACACTGAGTTCAAATGTGGAATCGGGAGATAGGAATTACTGGAAATCCATGTCCGACAAGTCAGGCAAAAAATAAAATGCCTCGAGATATGATACACAGATACACGTATTGTTGACAGCGAAATCTATTGAGCACTTTTGTGTACGAACGAATTTGATTGACTAACAAGGGAAGGATACTAGCTTAGATTCGCCTTTTGAGATGAGACACATATAACTGGACTCATTGAACGCTGATTCCAAATATGGTGTTCCTAGCTGCTAAGCGATATTCCGGAGCGAGTTATGGTCTTGCTGTTGCGAGTAATTAACAAACTTGTGAATGTCGCAAGATGGCGTGTAGATAAGAATCCTCTTGAAAAATTGCTAGGATGTTGAACTAGCATCAGATTAAACTCTTGGATTTTGAAAGGGAGCATTATACAATTGCAAAACCAACTAGACGTCGACACCGTAGCATCAGCAGGTCGGGAAGCACGTAAACTTTGCGTACAAAAGAGACTATAACTCGCTTCAGAATAATGCTAAGCAGCTAAGAACAGCATATTTGGAGTCAGCGTTCCAAGCTGATTCCAAATATATGTCTCATCAAAAGGCGAATTTAAGTTAGTATCTTCCCTTGTAAGATACATGATTCTTTTATTCGGCTACAATGGATGACAACTCGGCTATGTACACGAAAGACTCTCTGTAAAACTTGCAGACCTAAACGATGCATTTCCTCGATTACATTTAAAATGAAAAACTTGACGAGATTGAAGAGTACCTCATGTGCACCTATCTACTTTCAGTAGTAGCACCCAAAAGCAAACTTTAAGCTTAGATCTTGTTAAAATAATTAAGGACAGAACGGATAAGAACTTACCAGATAGCATCCGATAACATCGTACAAATCGGCAGTGGTGAGAATCACACAGATATTGAGGAACGAAGTACCCAGAAGCAGCACTTCGACAGCGACGACAATAGCGGCTCGTGCGAGAGCCTCTGCTGTAAGCGAACGGCCGTCCAGGACGTCCCACATGTAAGCTAGTGCTTTCAGCAAGTCTGTGGCCAGAAACTGTCCCGACCATGAGGCAGACGACCGCACTTGCGCACAAGCAAATAGGCTGTGCTACTTGCGGGAACAACACCAGTCGTCAAGCGAACAGCGCGAGTAACTTGGTCGCTATAATCAAAAGGTTTTTGAGCAGACGAATCTACGTACAGTAGGCCAAAAAATGAGTTATACGAATTCAGTAAGCTGCGAAACTCAAGACTGTGAGGCGCATTGGACGTAGCCACGCCTGCGCCCGTGAATCGATACTCTGTCAAATAGATATTTGTGGACAATGAGCACTGGCAGGGAAGAAAGGATGCGGGAGCCACAAAGAAAGCGCTGCGCTTCGAATTTGTTTGGAATGCTCCGAATTTCTAATAGCACATTAGGTTATGAGCAACAGAGATCGCAAAAAGCATCACCAGCGAGAAAGTCGCGGCTCGCAAAGGTTATGTGGAAGCGGCTTTTATCTAATTGACGCCAGAGCAGCGCTAGTATCCACGTCATCGTAATGTGCATAACCCCTCGCGGAGCCTATCGATGTGCTAATACTATGCCACCCCGTTTGCGGTCTGAAATCTCAGAGAAAGAACAATGACTACGCGTTGTGTCAAGCCCGACATGCACGTTTATGCAAATCGTCTTAGCGAGCAGTTGACTCACGGTCTGGGAGCAAAAGTGAAGATAATTTTAGTGAAATGATTGGAACAGTGCAACGGGTACGTATCATTTGTCCACTATGATATCTATTCGAAAGGAAAAACTATCAATACATAAGACGTTAGGCAAAACGAGTCGATATAGCACTCAAAAGGGTCAATTTAGCGTAATGAAACGCTCTATCTAGTCTCTCAGGGGAGTAGTTCTTCGTCGTTCGCAAAGTGCTTTTCTGACTTTGATTACTAGCGACATTTTCATGACAAGATACAAGTCGAAACATGCTACTAAATGATTTGTCCCAATTCGGACCGAAACTAGTGGCAGTCATGTCTTAAAGTCAGTGTTCGGGCAAAAAGTCGATTCTGAGATTTTGTGCTTACTCGGGCCTGTTCGCTATGCTGACTTCGAAAATCTACATTGGGAAGCGCGAAAACGGCGAAGAAGGGCTCTAAGGCGTAAGGCATACCTCCCGCGATTCCAGTCGCGGAGAAATTTCCAGGTCGGACTTATGTAAAACAGGGTTGAGCGTGGGGTCAGGCGCGCCCGATCTGGGGGATCGTATTGAGGGTAAGACTGAGGGGGGGGGGGGTCGTAATTAAGAGTCGATTTTGTTAAGTTGGGGAGATAGTGCAAAGGTGAAGAAGAAATGCGTTAGTCCGGTGGATATCGCGATCACATGAAGAAGTGACGGTCATAAATAGCATACTGATTGTTTCCCAATGGAAGTTTCAGCCAAAATTCAAATCTTCATCTCTTTTCTCTTGACATATGAGGTCGTTAAGGAGGCTTGCTGTGTGAAATGGGTATCATTTCCATAATCAACATGTCAGATTACTTCTATGCGCTCTACAAACCATTGCCTACTGCAGTTTCTAGTGTTTCTCAACGTCTAAAAAGCGTGATTTTCAAACGTGATTAACTTGGTTTCAAAAGTGAAGATTGTAAGCTTTTCTATACTCACAACAAAGTAATGTTCACTACAAGTCTATGCTACAAATCAGGCTTCGTATCGCTTTCACACAGTGAAGTAAGAAGTGCTGCCAAAATTCCAACCGGCACGTTTTTCACATTGAGTGCTTCAACTCCTCGGATTAGCACAAGGCCGAAACAAGTCGGCTCAAGCTCAAACACTTACTGTGGAATCTGCGAGGGTTGAGCTAGCGAATCACATAAAACTTGGGTAGAAAAACTTCTTCGAAAATAAAGTTAATGGAGTCAGGCGCAACCCCTCAAAAGGTCAGGCCGCCTGAATTTTGCGGGGTTGCGCCTGACCCCATTAACTTGCCTTCAATATTCAAAAATCGCCGCTTTCTTAGCATGAGTATTGAGCGCAAAGCCTCTTCTTGCTATATTGAAAATTTGGAGCCAAACACGCCATCCTCCCTGCGAAAATTATAGCTCTGAAACGAGGGCTATCGAGATCCAAACTTGCCGTCAAGTTGCGTGTAGTTGTGCAATCGCAGAAAGCCGGGCCTAGAAACTTTTAAGAAATAGAAACCTGCATTGAAAGCTGGTTTCTTCAAAAAGATAACACTCTGAGGACGTGGAGGTGAAGCGGAGGGGTCGTTTAGGAGCTTTCACAGGGGGGGGGGGTTGTCTTTGAAGGACTTGTGCCTGGCCTCTTGCTCAACCCTTTATGTTACGAGTCCGCCGCGCAGCGCCTAACTGTGTGTCCGTGTTTGTGTTAGATGGACGCTGCGACGAATCGTGCACCATTTTTGGACGGGCATACCTCAGCAGGGAAATTTTCATTTCATTTCATTTGATCTTATCACAGCCCACAAGATTATTCAAAGATTATCATCTCGACCCGTTAACTAGGGGAGGTTCAAGAAAGATAGTCATAATATCTGCTCCAAGACGAAGGCGATCGCCCAAATAGGTTGAAAGCATGCGAGCGAGAGCGACCGCTGACCGAGCGTGCGCGCGACCTGTGGTTGACAATTGCCCGCGCGCTGCAGCCTCGCATGCTTTCAACCTATTTGGGCGACCGCCTTCGTCATGGAGCAGATATTACCTAGAGCAAGGAGAAATGTGAGAAGGAGATTCTTTGTGAACAGAATTAATAGAGATCTGGATAGACTGATGAGAAGAGGAATGCTTCCTGTTAAGCTTTCGCAGTTTAAGACGCTCTTAAAGGACTATTTGCTTTCACGATGAAAATCTGTCATTCGTTGCTTTTTTTTGTATTGTGTTTACTAACAAATTTTTGTGTTTTGTAATAATTGTCAGTTGATGATCAATGCATAGGGCATCCTATGTAATAAATGAAATGAAAGCAGGGAAATCGTTGCGACTTCGCTGAAACTCAGCGATGTCGCCGTCGCCAGTTCCGACTCAGCGATGGGCGAATCGCTCGAATGTTTTGTATTTTTTTGCAAATGCGAATCTCATTTAGGACTATTCCATCTCACACATGTGCTTCCTCTCTGCATGAGAGAAGGTAGGTCATCTAACATTCCATACTATATCCTTGAAAACAACACATGCGAAGTATGATCGGCTCCCAGATTTGTGTGGAGGCGGGTTGCGGACCTCCCTGATTTTAAGGATAAGCTTGACGAGAGAGTACAAATACAATAACTTTACGTGGAGGTTTAACAAGTTTATGCTGAAAATCAGGGAAGTCTATAGCATTCCATACTATTCATCGGCTCCACACGAATGTGGGAGTCGATGATATATAGTATGGAATGCTTCCAATATGTCGCCTCAGTCTCTGTGTTACCATCTACTGTTCTCGCAGTGCACTAATCTTCTCCTGTTCTTATTTTTTTTCATCACAAATGGTGATCGAATCTCAAAGGTTCTTGCTATAATCTCTGGAGCAGAATAGATGTGCATTGTCGGTTGCTCAGGCATATATGTAAAATCGTTCGCAGATTGGCAGACAAGAGCTCGCGCAGCACTCGTTTCTGAAATAGTCTACCCAGAGTTTTTTTACAAAGCCGAAAACATGATTTTACTGCTACAAAGCTAACGTGTATGCGTACCAGTGAATTAAAGAGAACTCAACTTTACCAACTAGTTGTCGACTTCATTGCACATGAAACTACTGAACTTGCGCCGGTGGAAAAACCTTGGTAGATACTGGGATGTAGTGAATCCATATCGTTTCTCGTTTGATGTAATGTTCTATTAAAGCAGATGGTGCCACATTCTGTTCAAATTTCCTTGAAAAAACGCACTTCAGACAATTTAACGCAAATTTTCCAAAAGTGCGTATACTGCGGTGTGGTATGTGACCGTCTACAAAATCGCTTTGGGTATGTCCAGGAATCAAGCGATGAGAGATTTTCAAGCTGTGAACGGTCGCCCAGGCAGACTAGTCGCAGCGATCGGAAATCGTAACGACGGAATCGCTGGAGCTATGGCTTAGGCCTTACGCAGGAGGAAAATCAGCAATGGGCGGAGTCTTCCCCTCTGTGAATTTCCCAGCTTCTGGAGCGATCTTTCAATTCCGCTAACGCCCTGGAATTTCCACAGGCCAGATGCGAATGCATGACTTGAAATCGGAACCGAGAAGATCGCTCCGGAAGTTTGGAGCGTGAATCCACAGTGGGGAAGACCCCGCCCACTTCTGATTTCCCTCCTGCGTTAGAACCCTTTTTCGCCGTTTTCGCGCTTTTCAATGTGGTTTTTCGGATTCAGCATAGTGAAAAGGCCCGAGTAAGCACAAAATCTCAAAATCGAATTTGCCCGGGCACTGCCTTTGAAGGCAGCGGCTCGGCAGATTGGCCTACCTCAGATTTTGACACAGATGGATAGGAGGCCCTCCAAGTGAACCAAAACAGCAGCTCCGCGCCGAAAATGTGAACTCTGCAAGCCAGGGGGGAAGCGGCCCAAGCGCCGCTCCCCTTCCTCCTTTCGCTCCCCTAACACCTTGTTCGGACGAGTATTCTCCGCTAGACGGCGCGGGACCTCCCAACCGCTTTCCCGCATTGTGCATGCCATACAAGCCAAAATTACAGGCAGCGGTCTTCGTGCCAGGGCTTCCCGACTTTTCTTTGAAAATTCTCGTCCGAGCTGCCTTTTGGAAATTGAAAAAAACGCCCCGAAAAAGGCCTTTCCACCCCTTTTAAAGCTCAGTTTAGTGATCTACGCGTCGAGAAGGCCCAAAACATGCAAAAAGATGGAAATGCAAAATCTGCCGAGATGCTGCCTTCAAGTCTACTATGCAGCAAAAGCAATATATACAACCGCGTGCGAGCAGTTATTACCAGGGAGCGTGGGATCAGGCGTGGCGGACCTGGGGTTCGTCTTGGGGGTAAAACTGAGGAGGGGGGGGGGTCCTAATAAAGACGAATTTGTTCAAAAGATTGAGGGAATACTGCGATCGAGTAAAGTGAAGAAGACATACCCTCGATACTTAGAGCCACGACTCTGGTAAGTAACTTTCACTTTGAGGGCTATGAGGGAACACAACCTTCACCTGGGAGAAAAAAAACAGAAGTCATCCGGGGCGAAGCCCCTTGTTTTTTTTCGGATGTTACTATCCTGACTATATCGAAACGAATGTTAAAGGCAGCGGCTCGG